GCTGCCAACACAGCCCTGAGGGAGGATCTGAACACGTGCTTTGGGGGGCCCGCGGCTCCCACCCGGGCTGTGCCGAGTTCCTGCCCAGCTCTGGGCAGCAGAGTTTCCCTGACTGCAGCAAATACATTTGCTGTGCTTTATGGAGCACGGAATGTTTTCTGAATTTTAATGGTCCCAATAAATCGTGTTAAGATTGTGTTCTATTAGACCCCAGGAAATTAATGAGAGTGATTCGAGTCTGAGTGTCATTGGGAAGGTGGGAAGGCAGCAGTGCTGTTAGAGGAGAGTTTGTAAATTTGGCTGAGGCAATAATGGGGGTGATAAGGATTGTAGAGATTCCCAGGAATCCCCATTCAGTCCTGGTTTTACCTACAGGGATTCTGTTGTCCCACTGGGGACTAAGTGATGATGATTTTCAGGTTGTGCTTCACAGAGAGGAGGAAACCTTTGTCATGGGGCTCAGATAGCTCAGGAACAGAGACTGGGAGAGGGACACCCTCTGTCAGACTGCAGTGCTGGATCATTTAGGATGGATGTTGAGGGATGAACCTCTGCTATGGACACAGGCTGAGAGTGGTGCTGTCCAGCCTGGGGAAGAGAAGGCTCCAGGGAGACCTTAGAGCCCCTTCCAGTGCCTAAAGTGGCTCCAAAAGAGCTGGAGAGGGACTTGGGACAAGGGCCTGGAGTGACAGGACAAGGGAGAATGGCTTCCCACTGCCAGAGGGCAGGGTTAGATGGGATATTGGGAAGAAATCAATGTCTGTGAGGGTGGTGAAGCCCTGGCACAGGTTGCCCAGAGAAGCTGTGGCTGCCCCATCCCTGGAAGTGTCCAAGGCCAGGCTGGACAGGGCTTGGAGCAACCTGGGCTAGTGGGAGGTGTCCCTGCCCAGGGCAGGGGGTGGAACTGGATGGGCTTTAAGGTCCCTTCCAACCCAACCCATTCCATGATTCTGTGATTCTAAAACAGGAATTGCAGCCACTGAAGGGAGCATTTGCATCCTTAGGAGGTGTGTTTGCTGGATAGGATGGACTCCTTAATATGGTATGAAAAGCAATAAAGAACAAGGATTGTCCTTGGTGGGAAGTGCAGTGGGATGAGTGGACACCGTTCTGACACCAACAAACCACCAGCCCAGCAACATCCACAAAAACATTGGGATTCCTTTGAGAGCTTGGTGTCCCTGAGTGCAGCAATGGGGATGAGCAGATTGGAATTCCAGCCTCCTCTTGCCCCTGCTCTGGGGGTGGTCGTGCCCCTCGGGGCGGGAGGGCACGGGTGGCTCTCAGCCTGTCACCAGGACAGCATTGGCATCTTTATCTGCAAGATCAGAGTGTTTTCCAGCAGAGCAGGTCAAAACCTCTTCCTTGCTGTACCTGCAGCCGTGGTGGGGGAGCTGCAGTGATGGATGAGCGTTTCTCACCACAATCACAGCCCGGCAGCAGCAGCTCACAAATCCTGGCACGCCGGGAAGGACTCGCTGAGTCTCTCTCTGAAGTCTGGCCAGCAAATCATTCAGCCAGGCGAGGATGAGCAGGGGCTGCTGGATGTTCCCTGCTCAGCACAGCAGCTGGGGGAGCTGAGGGAGCTCTGCCTCCATCAGTGCCACACTGGGGGTTGAGGCAGCGCAGACACGGGGCCTCCGTGGCCACAGAAAAGCCGCGTCACGGCTGCGGTTTGGGGGACTCCACCTAAAGCAGCTCCTTGAACCCCCAGTCCTGTCAGCTCCAGGGAGGCCATGCTGAGCTGTCTGAAACTTCTCTCCTGCCTGACTCCAGCTGGGGGATCTGGCTGCAGTGGAGCCGTGGACGGGGAGTTTATGCCGGTGGATGTTGTAATGGGGTTTTACGATGCGGATCTTGGCAGATACGTTTAATATCCGACAATTAAAATAGCTTGGCTGGCAAACACACTGAACACTGCCAGGTTTTTATAAGATCCTGTGAATTCCTGACCTAGATATTCATTGGAGGAGGGAATTCGAGAGCAGGAGAGAAGCATGAACCAAGTATGGGACATTGGACTCCTCACTCCTGACCCATTTACCTTATTTCTTCCAAGTAGTAATAATCTAAAAAAAAAATGCAAAATTGGGTTAATAAAATGATTTAAGATGATCATAAAGGCAGCTCACTCTTAAAGTTGTTCCATATTCAGTTTTTATATAATTTACCTTGTGCTTGGGGTACTGAATAATGAAAAAATCCAAACAAACAGAGCACTAAGCCTCAATCCTACATGTAAATCTGTGCACATGTGCTGCAAACAAGATAGCACCCATGGACAGATTTGTTTGTGTTGCCTTGTGAGCCAAATGCTGTGGGTTTGCTTCTTTTAATTATTCAGTCCTGAAAGAATTTACTGTGAAATCCCACCAGGCAGAGATAAAGACTGGAAACCTTGTAATCTACAGCTGTACAGGAGGGTCACTTTATGGCCTGAATGTGCTGGAGAATTCAGATGTGGAGGGAATCTTTCATAGTGAACTGGCATGAAAGCCTCTATTATTTCAGGGCTTTGCAGCATATAAATTGTGTTTATGAGGAACCCAAAGCCTGGAAAAACCAAATGGGGAGATCTAATCCAGATTTGCTATTCTGATGAATTTTGGCATTCTCCAATTTATTCAGGTTGTCAGATGGATTCAGTCCCAACACGGCAAGGGCAAGACAAATTAATTAGCTAAAGCTCTGTTGGTTCTGGGGGTTTTGTCTCTGTGTGAGGGGGTGCAGGGCACTGCTGTGGCAGGGGAAGGGGCCCTTTGGCTTGTCACCCACCCCAACCCCCACTCCCAGCCAGATGAGAACACTGTCAGTGAAAAGAGTTGAATTCTCTTCCAGTCTGGAAGTGAAGGCCACGTTCCTAGTGCAGCTCCAATTATGAAACTGTTACGTGTTCCCCTGAGACTGCTCAGCAGCCACAAGTAATGCTTAAAAGAAAAAATAGAATGTTTAGTTGTAGAGAAAATGGCCAGGTCTGGTCTCATAAAGACAAGCAGCCAATTTTTAAAAAATGTTGGGTTCAACAGTATCTGGAACTCTCACATGTCATAACCTTGTTAAGATAATTACAGTAAATGGGTTTTCTGCAGGGGAATCCCCTGACATTCCTCCCTGGGAGATCACCTCTGCTGCTGTTCCAGACAGATTCTGCATCACTTTGAGAGTAAAGTCTCTGTTAACCTCCTTTAAAAATATCACCAAGCAAAGAGAAGACAACACTTAATTCCTTTTTACAAAAGGAAAAGAGAGTCATGTCTTGGGAAGAAGGGAAATCAAATAAAAAATTTAATGCTAGAGAAGAAAGGCAAGAAATGCAGTTGCCATGGCAACGGGAGCATAAGTAGAAACTTTCCAGCAAAGAGCAGAAACTAAAAATGAAAAAGCGGAGTGGCGAGGCCTGGCAGATAGCCAGAAGCTTCCTCCACATCCTGCTCTCCTGGTGGGATGCTCTTAGTCAGCTTTGGCACCTTCTGGAAGTGCTCTGGGCTTTGGGAGCTGGGCCCGTGGGTCAGAGCCCTCCCAGGGGACAGCCAAGTGACACCATCCCTGGAGACAGGACAGCTGTGCCAAACCCACTCTGTGTGCTCAGCCCGGTGCCACTGCCAGTGGAGAGGGGAACATCCCCTGGGAATGGGCACCATGGCATGGTGGAGTTGGCAGAGAGTGGCAGCTGCTTCGTCTGATGGTCACAAAACACCGAGCAAGTCCCTCTCCATTCTCCTCGTGTCCAAACCAAGGTCTCAGAGTGCACTGCAGCAATAATCCTGTTCTTCAGTTCTCCTCTGATCCCTTTTTGGTAGAGAAAACACATCCCTTAAACTCTGCTCCAAACCACCCCTCAGTTCCCAGCTCGGGGTCCCATCCCTGGGCAGCGCCTGCCACGGGCACAACCCGTGTTCCAGAGTGGGCATGGGCTGGATCCCACATGTCTCCAGCCACGGGCACAGCCCGTGTTCCAGAGGGGGCATGGGCTGGATCCCACATGTCACCAGCCACGGGCACAGCCCGTGTTCCAGAGTGGGCATGGGCTGGATCCCACATGTCACCAGCCACGGGCACAGCCCGTGTTCCAGAGTGGGCATGGACTGGATCCCACGTGGTGCTGGAGCAGAGGCACATTCCAGACATCCAGTTCCACCCAGGGCTCTGGGATCCTTGGATGCTGGCACATTTAACTCAGTTGCACACAATAAAGTAATACAGTCATTGGATTAGCAATTATTAAACCCACATATGCTTTTGAGTATGACATGGAAAAAAGCAGGTTGGGAAAGCTGGGGAGGTTCCCAGGCAGGGCTATAAAAGCTTTGTGATGGCCAGGAACTGCTCGGGGTGAAGGATTCGGAGCGTGCCCAGGGCTGGGCTCTTCCAGATGGAAGCAATGAAACCTGGGGTGTTTGGATTTCCTTTAGTCATGTTCTTGGAATTAAGCACGTGTGGAAGAGGTTTGCTAATTTGACCTCAGACTGTTCAGCATCTCATAGAATAGGCTCCTTTTTCATGAACCAAACACCAAATGAAGTGCAAGCCAAAAAACAAACCCACTTTACCTCTTTGTGTGTGAAATCTGGGCAATCTTCCCTTGGGTGCAGCACCACGAGTGAGGAACCCACCTGATAAACCTCAGTTATTACTAAAAGGAAAGCCTACACATACATAAATCTGCTGCTCTGTCACTGACTTCACTCCTCAGCTGTCCTGTCACTGGCTCACCTGGACTGCTCCTCAGTTAAATGTTATTCCCAAACACAAGCATTTGTGGTTTGTTGGGGTTTTTTGTAAGCTGGAATTGCTGAAGCCTCGAGTAACAAACTCACTTGGAAACCTCACCGGGGTTTCCAACTGAGTAATAATATTCTTTATCATCTGGGCATGAAAATGACTGTACAAAGGAATTGCAGAGTAGGTATTTATTATATATTTGTATATATTTACATTATTTTATTACAATATTTATTGTAAATATTATAATAGTCACAATATTTCACATTGTTATATTATTATTTTTGTATATTCACAGTGCATTTATTCTATTAGCAGATATGTATTTTTTATGCCTTGTATTTCTTTTCCCCGGTGATGTTTAATGCTGAGGCCGAGTTTATTCGGGTATGAGAAGCTTGGGGGGTTTCTCTCTGGTTTCTGGGGGGAGGGAAAAAAAGAAAACATGTTCCGTAAGTTCCGCCAAAAACTTAAGAGGAAAACCGCTCTTGGGAAGCGCCTAACGCGTGTTGTGGGAGTGATTCCCGTGCGGAGCCGGCGCCCTCCCGCCTCCGGGCGGCAGCAGAGCCGTGCGGAGCCGAGCCGAGCCGAGCCGAGCCCAGCCGAGCCGAGCCCAGCCCAGCCCAGCCCAGCCCAGCCCAGCCCAGCAGAGCCGGGCACTTCTCAGTGTTCCCTTGTGAAAGAATCTGCTGGGCTGGGGAAAACCTCGCTGTCAGCCCAGGACCGGCAGCAGGTCCGTCCCCAGACCAGAGCAGTGTCCCTCAGAGCTGGAGGTGCTGCCGCAGCGCTCGGGGTCCCTCCCTCCCTCCTGCCCTGTCCCCCCGCGCTCCGTGTGTGCAGCAGAGGTTTCTCCGAGCCCGCTGACCTTGCCTCTGGTTTATGTGGCTTAAACTGAAAGGATTCTGTGGGAATGGTCGGAGCACTGATGGACTCTCAGGGCTCATTTGTGCCCCGGGGACGCTCAGCAAAGCCAGAACAAATCGCACAGAGGGGCACAGGGTGCGAGGTCCAGCACGGACATGGCTGGGAAAAGCTCCACAATCCCCTGGATTGTGCTGGTTTGTACAGCTCTGTGTGTTATGGGATGAAGTGTGGGAGTGACACGACCCAAACAAAAGGAGCACTCCAGTTGTTGCCAAGGTGAGATTCCAGACGGCTCTTGACTGGAACAAGGTGCCTTCCATGGAGTGTTGCCACTTACTGTGGGAAGGTAACCACGGGCTACTTCATGGAATTGCAAAGAACGAGCATTTGGGGAAGTTCCTATTCCTGGTGCCTGTTTCCAGCACTGCTGGAGGGTGTTTTACCCCCTCAGGTGTGTCAGTGCTTGCCAGGCTGCCTCGTCCAGAGCAGATCTGGAGGAACTCTGTGTCCCTGCCCTGATGAGTTCTGTTTGTACAGAGCTAAACAGGACCCTCCAAAATCCCTGCACTTCCAGGGATTCTGGAGTCTGTTGCATTTACCCTGGTGCAGTAAGACTGGGGTTCCTGATCTCTGTGAGACCCTGAAGGAGGCAGGATCTGGCTTTTTCCAAGGCTGATTGCTCCCTGTCACCTGCCAAGACAAATACCCTGTCTGGAAATGTTCCCTACCCAGCTCAGGTTCACAGGGAAGTTGCATTTTAGCCTTGGCCAGCAAGAATCCCCTCACACTGGTGAGCCAGCAGCTTTCCAACGTGGTATAAAGCCTGTGAGCTTAGTCTGGGCCCCAGGCCTGCCAGACCACTTAGTTTTAGGGATCTGTGCTGCCCAAACTGTGGTGAGGGTGGTACAATCTATTCCAGAGGTTGTCAAAGCTCAGCTTCTCAGACAGTAAAGGGTATTTTTCAGCTGATGTTCGGACCTGAGAGGTCCTGCTGTCGGAATATTGATCCCAAGGAAGTCTTCCTCCAACATCTCTTTCATTGCTCATGGAAAAAGGGCCAAGGATTACTCGCTCATATGTAGTTCATAGTCTGATTTTTAAATCATCTTGTCTCATTTGCCCAGTCCCTCAGCCCAGTAACATACCCAGTTCCCTGCCCTGCCCACCCCTCAGTGAGCAGCCCCCATCCCCAGCTACCCTCAGAATTCCAGGGATCCTTACCTGCCCCCCGGCAGCAGACCCAGCCACAGCAGCATCACTGCTCAGATGGGCTGCACACGGGGAGATTCGTGTTCCTGCTAAATTGGTACGTTGCTATTTTTATTCCTTGAGGGGAATTCCATTCATCTCCTTTCAGAGGAGCCTGTTAAACTCAGCCAGTCCCAAACTCCCAACAAATGTCCTTTAATAGTTTCGTGTTTCAGCTCCGCGGCCTCTGACTGTGTGTTCCTTTAACGCCTTCACGACTCCTCTGGGAGATCTAAGCCAGGAATAACCAACACTTCCTTAAGCCAGGCCTCCTGCTTTAAGGCTGTGTTTCTTTTCCTGCCGTGCATTCCCTTGCTCATCCCCACAGCTCCCCCTTCCCTGTGCTTTGCTCTGCCCATCCCGAGCTCAGGTGTGCTCAGGTGTCCGAGCGGGAGGTGCTGCATCCACTGCTCCTGATTTTCCTTGGCTGAAGGAGGACAAAGGACTCTTAACATTCTCTGCAGTCGCCTCTCAGCTTGGCATACTGATCATTTCAATAATAAAGTGTTTCCTTTCATTCTCCACCAGTCAGGCCCCTGCCAGAGCCATAATTGTTCACAGATGACTCATTTTGGCTGCATGATCAAAACGAGGGAAAAGTGCTGTTTGCACAGGCTTTGAATCGTACGAGATGGGAAGAGATGTTCACGCTTGATATTTGTACCATATGTGCTTTCTAAATTTTATTATAGAGCCTTTACATTTCAAAAGAGGTTCTACTCTTGTCCTGGGGATGATTTAGAAAGGAAAAGATAAGTAGAGTTTCGAGTTAGACTGGGATTAGCAAAGACTGGCTATGCAGTTTGAGCTGTGAAGCAGAATCCTGCCGGGTCTGCTGGGAGCTGGGCAGTCTGGTGGGGCTCTTTCTGCCCTGATATATATAGATATATATTTAGATATATCTGGGCATTGTTTAGGGGCTGCAGACTCAGTTGTGTTCTATATCAAAGTCACGTTGAGCTCGTCCTTGTGCTGAAATCCTGCACTGGGAGTTGCAGCAGGTGTTTGCATTTCCCTCTCTAATGCAAACCCAAGGCCGGCTGTCCAGTGCTGCTGCTGAACCACCCCAGGGTGGGCACTGCTGGGCCCTGCTTGGCTGGGTGCTCTCTTTTAGGGCCCCATGTTTCCATCAGAGGGACCTTTGTGAGGGTCAGCACAGGGGCCAACAACACAGGTCATTTTTAGGCTGGAGAACAAGGAAAAGGGGGGATGATTCCTGCACGTGCTGTGTCAGTTGGGAGCTACTCTTTGTGCCTCCTACCAAGACTGCTTCGGGGCCACCCAACTGTTTTAGATAAAACACCAAACAGAAAACTGCCTTCTTTGCATTAATGTAACATTTTGACTAAAGAGTTGTACAAACCCTGCAAACCAGATCATCCAACTGCTGCCACAGGGATGTACTGGGATGTGAAGACAAGCTCTTGTTGGATACTCCTTTGCAAGGGCTTGGAGGAAAGAGTTAGACTTGTTGATCCAGTAAAAGTCAGTCTATTAGAAGGAAAAAGGATATAAATTCAGTAGGAAGAGGGTTTTTTTCAGTAGATTTTTCCCTCTAAATATATAATGGCAACATTAATGGAATGGGAACACGTGGACTACAGACTCTTGAGAGTGGCAAATCTGTATGAATAACTGGGAAAACAAGCAGAAAACTTCCAATTTGAACTGATACTGCAGTAGAAGAGCATTTTGGGCTCTATGTGCCTTGCTAGAGGCTTTCCAATACTTTTATTCAGTGTCATTCCTCAGATTGTCCCCACAGGGCTTCTGAGGTGCCGACCCAGGGGTGGGACTTTGCAGGGGGGGCTCAGCAGAGCTCAGGCACTGCAGATGTTGGGTGCTCTGAGGTTCCACACCCCAAAACATCCCGGCCCTTGCTTTGCTCTCGGGCTGTTTTTCACATTCCTGTTATTCTCAGGAGGTTTTTCCACCTTTTGCAATCCGGGGCACTGGGACAATCACGTCTCTCAGAGCAGCACCGTGTTGTTGTGCCAGAAGGAAGGACGTGGATTCAAATAAACCACCCTCACAATGGTGTTTAAAAACTGATTGCAGGATTTCCAGTCGGTTTCTGTAAACCTGCCTTTAAAAACAATAGCTGCATTTTCAGTTTTCAACTTGCTAACGGGGAATTCTTTTAAACCAGAGGGTGTTTTCTGTGCTGCACTGTCATGTCAGGCTGATAAGGAAGATGGCTAAAGAGCATTCTTGCCAAAATATTCCTTGGCTGAGCAATCTGATGCCAAAAAAGCAAGTGAAACGAGCAACTCTATCTGCAGTGCAGTTTGCAAATTATGTGGCAAGGAAAGGAAGAAAATAATCTGTCACATGAAAAATGAAGCTTAGATTGTGTGTATATAAATCAGTGATTTGTTATATGAGCACAAGATCATTATCAGGCATTTAAACATGAATTGGAAGTGCCTAATCTATTAATTAATCAGGAAGTAAGCTTTACATAGCACGTGTAATCAAGTTAATCTTTCATTTCACTTGCCAGCAGAGATGCTGCTTTCAGTGGGATGTTGTCACGAGATTCAACCCCCCGAGTGCCTGTTCCTGCTGCTGGGGGAGTCTCAGGTGTAAATCCCTTTTCTTCTCCCCCCCTGGAGTTAAAACACACTCCACTTCCAAGGAGAGTGATGCCCTGCAGCCACTTCCTGAGAGGTTCATCTTTTTTCCCTGCCCTCTTAGCACGAAGCCATTGTAGGAGAACACACAGTAAATAGCTGAGACTTCTGCTGATAATAACTCATAAATTTGGCCCAGAAAGTCGGCGATGCCAGACTTTTTATCAACTCCTTCCCTGCAGCAACACAACAGCGAGTGTGCTGCTGAAACACAAAAATATTTTTAGGAGTTAATTCATTTTGTGATATGAATATTTTGATCGAGGGCAATGCAAGAGATGTAGTTTATTACAATAATTTATCATTACATCTAATGATTGGATTCCTAACCCAAAGGTGACGTGGGTTTTGATTATTTAAATGTGCAGATAGGAAAGTAAAGGTCAGCTGGGCTCCCTTTCCTAAAACAGGTTAGAGCAGGTGAGATTTTGAGGTCCCTTTTGAGCCTCCCTGGGCTGTTCTGTGATCTTCAAGGACCTTCCAACCCAAACCATTCCAAGATTCCTGCACCAAACAAATCTCCTCCATTTAGCACAAAGAACAGAGACTGAGCTCATGGAGCAAAGAGCTGCTGGAAAGTGAGGGATGAGCTGGAAAAAAGGGGGTAGAAATAAACCCCAGATATGGACACTTTGTTTTTTAAAGAAAATAACCAACAGCTTTCCTGTTCTGTGGTGGTGTCATCATATGTTTATTTTTTTTTCCCCTCAAGTTTTCAATGTGAGATTTGCAGGACCTGGACTATCTTTCAGTTTATTTTTTCACAGTAAATAAGGCAATTTTCCCAATTTTTCTGGACTATTGTAAAAGTGCTTTTATTTCCAATTTAAACAATAATTTAAAAAATTGACTAAGCAATATTTTCCTGAAAAAAATGCACTTGAACAAAAGGGCTACTTTTAAAATGATCCCAGCAGTAAAAAAAAAAAAAAAAAGACGTCCAAGGAGAGAAATTGCAGTGGTGTGTGGTAAATATCCTGGTTAATATTAGCACAGATCTGGGGAGAAATCCCATTATTGTGCAGCTCCCGGGGATGTCTGAGGAGCTTGGTTTGATCTGGGGGCTTGGAAAAGGTTTTGCTTTTTGGTTTGGAGTTTGTGCTGTGCAGGGGAGACTTTTCCCTCGGGTTTTTTCCCTCCTGCAGAGAGGAGCAGGCTGGTTTGGGGCACAGGAGGTTTGACTCTGGTAGAAGTTTATTCTTCAATTTGTGTTGGACTCCATGTGTTTAATTACTCCATCAGGTCTATGGAAATCACAGCACGAGACAGATTTGGACTTTCTGAATTTTATGAGCATCGTTCCCAGTCAGGATATAAATTTATCTGAGCCGAGTGTT